CTTTATCAGATGAAAGTTTGTAGTGCATTTCATCAATCAATTAATAAATAAATGTGAAAATCGTAATTTTCAACACAAATAATAGTCTCGCTACTCAAACGCAAATCGGCTTCCTTAAAATTGAAAAGCACTGTTAGAGTCATGAGAACTGCCATGGGAAATATGCAACAGTCTGCTGCGGATAAAGTTCAAGAGGTGATCAGCAATGAAAACCATTTGGATGAACCAACATACAGTCGCCCCTGGAAGCTAATTTAATTAGCACTGCTAACCATCTGAGACAAAAAATTAGACCGAAGGAACCATGTGGAATTGATTTCGATCTTCAAATCTGCCCCCAGATTTCGTCAAAAAGGAACTTAGTATGGATATTTTATGCTCGAGAGGAGTTATATCAAAATCATGGCATGTGGATGCAACATTCAAGATTGTTGGCCTGCAATTCTATCAACTTTTCCCCACTTATGAAAGAAAGAGGATAGTGGAAACAAGCAAGTTGCCATTATTTATGTGCTGATTAGCTTTACCAAGACTCAAGGTGCAACAATTTGAAATGGATTTCGAGGCAGGTATGTGGGCTGCAGTGAGAAGTGTTTTTTTTCACTCAATCAAAGGCTGCTGCCTTCCCTGGGCACAAGGTGTGTGCATGACCCTTTCTACCTAAAGATCAGATCATAAACACATTCAACTTGCTGGCAGCGCGATCAGTAGAAGAGATGCAAGAACTGGTGCTATATACAAGATCAACATGGATCAACATGGATCAAAAGTACATCTTGGCCACTATTGTCATGGACAGTCTACCCAAATAACTGTTGAGGACTGGCATCACGGTTTGAATTTAGCAAGGAAAAGCAAACTATATATTGATAATACCACTACACAAAACAGCAATGTATACCAGCGTACAACTGAAATTAATTAACAAGAACAAACTGCGTAGATACCAATGGTCAATCTACAGACAGGTACAGGGCAAGGTATTTAGTTTGTCGAATAAATACGCTGCTGGCAGCATTACAATGAGTCCTCTCCTACTTTGTTGTAGTAAAATATAGTACAACTGCACACTAAATTGAGATCGGGTCAGAATGAGGCGGTGGGTTGAACTGTAAATTTTTTAGGGTCTAGATGAACCCATCCGTCATCCCACAGTCAGGTTTTCCAACAACTTCTTTAAAATTGTTAACTTTATTGCTTTTTTACTTAATACATATGTTCCTTAGGTGGACCACTATGAGATTAGTTAGGTGGACCACTATGAGATTAGTTAGGTGGACCACTATGAGATTAGTTAGGTGGACCACTATGAGATTAGTTAGGTGGACCACTATGAGATTAGTTAGGTGGACCTCTATGAGATTAGTTCAATTTAAGCGAATATTTTTATCTTTTTGATGAGAATGCTATCTTCTTGAGATCCGTTACTCTGATATTTATACTTGGTATATGTATGCCTTGGGTGTTGCCCTATTAGATTTGAATATTTCGTGATGATATCTTCAATTCTGTAATTTTAGCAATATTTTTAGTCATTTTTGATTAAAAAAGCTATTTGGCTTCTTCTTGATGACTGCTAGTTTGCTTGAATTGATACTTGGTATATATGTACATTTTCTGGCCCTATTCTCCACCAGGAGACAAGGAAATGATGATGATATATGTACATGTTACCTTGGTTGGATCTCTATTAGATTAAATCATTTTGTGCTATAAGGAGAAGTGGAGTTGATGAGTAACTTTGGTAACTGTAACACTTATTCCTATCAGTGATAAGATCTAAACACAGGAGTTGCAACATTTAAATAGAATGTACCACATTATGCAATCCTAAGTTTTTTATTTTCCCACTATGATGATTATCTGACTATATACATGCACTTATTATTACAAGACTGTTCTGTGCTGAAACAATAGAGCTACCGGTACTGTAGAATACTTTATTTTCTCTTGGAATTAATTTTTGCTATTTTCGCTGAAGGAATAATTCAGTGAAAATGAAATCCAGCGGATATACCTCTTTTCCTATATTTTACATTCAACTCGTCAAAAATCAGTGAAAATAAATTCCATACAAAACGCCCACAAAGTCTATTCAGCAAAAATTAATTCAAACATCAAACATGTTGTTTAATACTTTATTTATTATTTTGACTTTGACTTTCTTAATGATTTATTCTATTTGCAGGTGCTTGTTGATGGTTATGGATACAAAGAAAATCATGTTTTGATGGATATCAGATTAATTATATGTACAGTATCATGTATGTTTGCGATAACTGCCTTAATCTATGACTATCTACATCCGTTTCCAGAATCCAGACCAATTCTTATTGTCTGTGTTGTTTCATATCCTTTGCTGCATATTATGATTAATTTTATTTAATCTTAATAAAATATTAACCGTTTTGAATTAAAAACAATAAGAAATAGAAACCAATTTCTTTTTTTAGCTCCACTGTCGACTTTGTCGAGTGGAGCTCATCATATGAGTGATTGTCCGGCATCATGCGTGTCAATGTTTTACTTTTTCGACTTCTTCTTGAAAACTACAAGCCTGAATGCTTTGATACTTCGTGTATATGTACCTTGGGGAGACCTATCTTAGGTTTGTTCATTTCATGTTGATATCTTCAATTCTCTAATTTTGGTGAATATTTTTGTAATTTTTGGTAAAAAGTGATATTTTCGACTTCTTGTTAAAAACCAAAAATTCAATTGCTTTGATATTACATATATAGATACTACATGTAACCTTTCACAGATTTGTTCATTTCGTGAATGATGATATCTTCAATTCTCTAATTTTGGTGAATATTTTTGTCATTTATGGTAGAAAGTGATATTTTCGACTTCTTGTTAAAAACTGTAAGTCCGATTGCTCTGATACTATACATATTGTTCATTTTCTAATGATGTCTTCAGTTCTTTAATTGAAATGTGCATTGCTAACAGCGGAGCTATCTCAGCCGAGACGCTGCTTGTTTAGCTTCCTGTCGACTTTGAGTGATTGCCCGTTGTCGTCCGTGTCAATGTTTTACTTTTTCGACTTCTTGAAAACTACAAGCCTGAATGCTTTGATACTTCGTGCAAGGTACATACCTTGGGTAGACCTCTCTCAGATTTGTTCATTTCATGATCATATCTTCATATAATTTTGATGAATATTTTTGTCATTTTTGGTAAAAAGTTATTTTTGACTTCTTGTTAAAAACCACAAGTCCAATTGCTTTGATATTACATATATAGGTACTACATGTGGACTTCTCTCAGATTTGTTCATTTTGTAATGATATCTTTAGTTTTCTAATTTTGGTGAATATTTTTGTCATTTTTGGTAAAAAGTGATATTTTCAACTTCTTGTTAAAAACCACAAGTCAAATTGCTTTGATATTACATATATAGGTACTACATGTGGACCTCTCTCAGATTTGTTCATTTTGTAATGATATCTTTAATTCTCTAATTTTGGTGAATATTTTTGTCGTTTTTGGTAAAAAATGATATTTTCGACTTCTTGTTAAAAACCGCAAGTCCAATTGCTTTGATATTACATATATAGGTACTACATGTGTAGCTCTCTCAGATTTATTCATTTTGTAATGATATCTTTAATTTTCTAATTTTGGTGAATATTTTTGTCATTTTTGGTAAAAAGTGATATTTTCAACTTCTTGTTAAAAACCGCAAGTCCAATTGCTTTGATATTACATATATAGGTACTACATGTGGACCGCTCTCAGATTTGTTCATTTTGTAATGATATCTTTTATTCTCTAATTTTGGTGAATATTTTTGTCATTTTTGGTAAAAAGTGATATTTTCGACTTCTTGTTAAAAACCACAATCTTTTGTGGTGAAAAATAATATTTTTGAATTCTTGTTGAAAACAGCAAGTCCCATTGCATTGATACTATGCATATTGTTCATTTTCTAATGATATCTTCTGTTCTTTAATTGAAATGTGCAGTGCTAACAGCGGAGCTATCTCAGCCGAGACGCTGCTTGTTTTGTACATTAAAAAGATTATAAAATTGTTTTTGCATATAATAAAAAAAGTTTTATTCCAGCTAAAAGAAATAAGTTGCTTTTAATTTTTTGACAAGTATTGATATGTGTAGACCAGTTTAAGTTTTTTTGCAATGTTATTCCAAAGACTTCTTGACACTTTACAGTCGTTATTTCTTTATTGTCAAGGGTAATTTTTAGGTTTGTTTAAAGGTAAGTGGTGGCACTTTTTGTCTGTTTACAGGCATATACAGATAGACTATGGTTTGTCATGTTATCGTATAGTCAGACTTAATTTAAATTTTCTGCAGATGGCGGTATCGTATGGTAATACACATCATTGGACTAAAAAGACAATCACAAATGTACACTGGGATTCATATACTAGTAACACAGGTTTATATTACATTGCAAGAATAATTCGTTTGGCAATGTACATCGCTGCTTTATCAGCATCATTGCTATATAGCTAGCAGTGGTGCTTATTAATTAATCAACCTAAACATATTGTAACAATATATATATATATATATTCCCAGACTAACAGCGTAGCAATTTCAACATTCTATTAACATTTAAGGGACAGCCAACTGATTGAAATGCAAACACATCTGCAAACTCAGCATTTTGACCAGGAATTAGGACCAGCTAATTAGACTTGGGAATGTTATTTTCTTTTTAAAATTCTCTCCCCGGACATTCAACTGGTTTGATGCAGTGTGAATGACAATTTTGTGTAGCAAATAGTTCGTTCCTAATATGCATGTTAGTATATTTACCAATTAAAACGTGTAATTAACTGCTGCTGCTTCTGATTCATTGATGCCAAAAAGAGTATTTCTATTACGGTAGTATTTTACAAGGAACTGAATTAAATACTAATCCTTAGTGTGGATCAATGAAACATTGTTGCAGAGATTTGATTTAGCATGATTAACAGGTGATTTTCCGTACAATTGCGAGATGTATGAAAGACGCGCGTCGAACGTCTGCCGCAAAAATCGAACGATTTGATTTTGAACTAGAATTTCTTTATTTCGTAACTCACACCGACCAGCCGATCTTCGACAGAGGAATATTCCTTTCGAATACCCTCATTTAATTGAAATTGACCATCATCAAATGTGGACAGCACATTATTAAGCATGGAAATGTTCCCCAAAGTACTTCGCGTTTGTCGAATCCCACACGATGTTTGACGCCACTACGATGCTATGACCTTTGTTTGTCCTGTTTTTACGTTCAATTTCACGCATAACGCGTGATTCTCGCAGTGAACGGAAAATGGTCTATTGATAAGCAATACTGCTAGCTGTATATCAATGTTGTTAGCAAAACAGTGATGTACCATATATTGCGACTTTGCCCAGTGGATTGTTCTTGTGATGAATGTAAAGCCACGATCACATTACAAACATCTATGGATTTTACCGTGATAGGCTTCAGTACCGAAACACCTAATTGCATTCTTGCTCACAATTAGACCTGTTTTTTTTACCCTTAGTCATAACATGATTATCATATAACCAGTTCAACTACAACTTCAATGTTATTTCAATCAGCTAATAATCAAAATATCTTTTACTGTCATTTCTGAACTATCATATTTGGTCAATGATGTTGTGTGGCACGTGGCAATGAGAGAAATTCCTTAGCCTACTGTATCCTGCCAAATGTGTAGTCATTATCGGTTGTATTCCTTAACTGTGTCTTACATATTTTATCATGATGGCTATATTAACAGTTTATACTACTTTTAAAGAGAAGAATATATTTTTAGTTGCTCATAAGAAAGATGCTACTGGAGTGGATCCGGATGATGTTTATACTCTGGCTTCTTCTCTCAAAAGGTATGAATCACACGACTGTATTCAATTTGCAATCTACGCCATTAATACAAAGCAGTGACAGTGAATGGTTCTATGCTGAGAATTCACAATTTACAATCCCACTGTGTCTCAAACTGGTAAAAAAACTCTCAGAAAACTGTACTTGAGGCTTTCTCTAAGTGTGGAACATATATAAATTTGGGTGCCTGGTATTACCTCAAAGTTGAGTTTGTTACTGTTTTCTCAACTTCTGCTGTTTTCACCAGTTTTTCGATCAATGTTCTGCAGCAACTTTGAAATACATGGTATATAGAACGTTCTGTGACGTAGCTTCAACCACAAGAATACCTTTTAGTTTTAGTCTACAATAGTATGCACAGTGAATAACTTAAATTCAGACAAGCAATATTTGGGTGTGTCTAGACTGTATTTACCATGTAATTATTTCTGTTTGCATTTTCAGGTTTGATCACATGTACTCTCTCACCCTCACATTCACTGATGGCATATCCAATGAAATGCGGCATACAACAATGAAGAAGTCGGTAGCAACCTGGGTAGATGAAAATGGGTCTATATTATTTGATCTGTATGAACCGGATATTAGAAACCTACATGATAGTATAACATCGGAGAAAAAAGAAAAGTGACTTTAACAATTACATCACTCATTTATTTATCACATTATTAGATGTTTTGAGGCAGGTCCTGGCTTAGTTTACTCTCATACAGTGCAGCATGATACTTAGTTCTAGTGCAGGGTTGCTATTGTTGGACTAATTTGCATACTTATTAGACTAGATTTGCATAGTTATGTAATATTTTTATTGAGAATCAATAAGCCTCGTAAATTGACCTATTTGAAAAACATGTTGCTGCATTTGATTTAAAATTATGTTTTTTGTTTATATATTTTTATTAGCATCTTACTTGAAAGAACTCAACAAGTCAGTGGCCATGGATTTTCTTTAACTCCAGCAATTTTAGTCTTGTGCCCAGTAGAAATACCAACTGTCTGTTTCTTTCAGCAATGTATTCTTTACTTCAATAACTTAAGTTAACCAAGTTTTTTTTTTTCTTGTTACATTTTTATAATTAACTCCAGAAAAGTAATGATAGCATCATAGTAGAATTCTGTATATGTATTAATGTAAACATTTTATTTCGGGATATTATTATAATATTCTTGAAAGCTACCTGCAAGACTTGCAATTAGTATGGTTTCTGTTCTGCAAATACCCCAGTCCTGTTTTATCTATTTCATATATTTCACAGTCTTGCCATAGACTACCAAGACAATATTAAAAACATACGTCACAAAGTTCGTATTTTGTAAGAAAGCTGTTAAAGAATTGATAACATTCAGTACAATAAAGATCTTTGAAGGCTAATTTTTTTGTGTCATCAGTATTGAATTTGATTGTACAGACTTGTTGTGATGTCTAGTTATAATAATTATGATTGATTAAAATTGTTCAGTTTATTCTTGATCAAGTAATAATGAAAGTTCAGTTTTCCATCCTAGTGCATGCAAGGTTTGGAACATGTTGATCGTGAATAATTTTAAGTTTTAAATTTTGTGGCGAATAGTACTGGTAATGTGCACGTTTGATTTTGCCATCTGTAAGATGCACTTCAATATATCATGAACACCACTTGAATTTTCGTCACACATTTTAATATCGCGTTCAAACTTTTAAACAAATGTCGCAGAATGCAGAAAATTATAGAGATGCTTTGTGACAGATTTCAGATAGTCATTCAATTTGTTTTCTACAAGCATGGAAAGAAGCTGGGTAAAACATAACTTTTTCCACATAGACCTTGTTTGGTAGATTATACAACAGTCAGTCACTGTATTGTAATAAAGAAACTTGCTGCACTAATAATTTGATATTTATTGAAATCCATATACGGTACAGTAATACTGAGTTGAAAAATTTACATAATCAAATCTTACAAAAGTAAAAACTATTTCAGTTGTGTGTAAACTTGATTTTAATTGTCTTGCTGTTTGAAGACTGCTTGGACTGAATACCATCTACATAGCAGTTTAAATAACAAAAAAAGTTAGAAGAACTTGTGTGCTGAGAGTATCAAAGTCCCATAAAGTTGAAGATTATCTTTTTAAGCAAAAGGTCTGGCAAAAAATATAGCTGTGATATTTGAGATGTACCAGGAGAATGATCCACAGTTTACAATGCTAATAGAAAACTTATTTCAATCAAGTGAAAGGGAAAACAAGTTTGCAGTCTGGGTACCTATGTGCAAGGTTTAATTTACTTAATTACTGTACCCCAGATTTTTATTGGTATACGATGATTAGTTTTGTAATGTTAGTGGAACAGAAAGATGTACATGCAGACAGGGTAACCACAAAAACTACCATTGTGTGCTTGAGTACATGGAATAAATACATCTGTTACACAGATATATATTAGTACATGTAGTTCTATAGTTTTGAAAAAGATAAAATCACTTATCTAGTTAAGTTTATTATGTATATTGCTACACCATTTACTGATAAAAAGCATAATATTAAAGGATTCTGTACCCCATGAATTTAAGTTGGGTTCATATAAAAATTAAATCTAACAATGTGCATCACAACATACTGTCGGATAATCTGATAAGTACACTGGTATTTGCAACAGATGCTTACTTCACATTGATTACTATTCCTGAATAACAGCGAACTTTTGTAAATATATTGAATCGAATCAATTATAGGAACATGATATTATTATAGCTGGAAGCAAAACAATCTAAAGTGTATATAAAAATATATCCTATAAAACACTTCTGTACCACAAACATTTTATTGCTTCACGTTCAATAAAGATAACTCATAGGACATATACAACACTTGTAAAATGATAGTTTGCTTATCTAATGCATAAAAATATTCCTGAAGATTTGCAACTACAAACTATTACAAGTCACTGTTTTTATAAAACCCCAGTACAAATAAAAAAAAATATGCTAAAATTGATATGCCCATAAAATATTTGGTTAGAGACATTGGCAGTCCCTGTTAATTTTAAATATTTAAACAATGCAACGGAATAAGTGATTGAGGATGTTATGTCATTTCTGAACAAAATATCATGCACATGTGCATCCCATGATGTTTCCGGTATTGTGCGTCTGCGTCGAACAGAATTTTTTTAAAAAAACAAAACAAAATGACTACTAGTCATTTATTTTAAATCTGATCCATAAATAGAATTAAATTTATTAAAGGTGATTTTCTGTGCCAAGTTTGAACGAAGCCATTTATGCATGTCCAACAGCAGCAATAGTAATTATTGCCACTAAAATTGCCAAAAGTCAACCATATTGGGTTGTCCAAGTGCAAATCCATGTGATGTGCATCTGTAAGCCATGATGTCTGGTCTTTGTACCAAGTGTGAATGTAATTTGTCCTAGTGTGTAAGAAATAAGTGTGGACATAGCCCAAGTCTCATTTTTGTCCAAAACAGGGACTTATTATTCAAGAAAAGAAACTACCAGTAAATGTTCTTATACTGTGCATCATGTATAGTTTATGTAAACATTCCCCCTCCCCCCTCCCCACTCTAGTTGAATGTAAATGGTTTATTTCTAGTAAATTGTTTTCTACAAAGACCATTCCCTGGGTTTTGTTACGGAATCATTCCATCCTCGTTTATTTTGTCTGACAAGTACGTGATGTGGCATATGTATCATAGGCATAGATGGTCTTGAAATGAATTCGTCATTATAGTCCATATCATAGAATCCATGTACTGGTGTACTACGATACGTGTACGTTGACATTGATGTTGAAGGTCTCATTGTTGCTGCTCGTATTTCACGACCAACAGAGTGGCCAAGTCGATATGTACGAGGAGTACTGCTGAACATATTCTGTTCCTCACCTGTAAAGAGAAGTAAATTAATGGTTGTTTATGACCATTCAACCTAATAAATAGGGGCGAAAAATTTATCGCAATGTATCGTTTCAAATGTGTCATACAATTATTGATTTTGAAACGTTTCAATTTTTTAAGTTTTTTTATGAAATGTTCATAACTTTTAAAGCATTTATTCCTCAGAATTTCCTAATATTTAATATTTTTATAACTACATATCATTTTTCACCATATATAACAAAACACAATTGCTCAAAGTATCCATATTTCCATTGATTGTTTGCATGTGTTTTGATATGGTCATATGCTTTTAAAATGGTAGCCAACTTCTTACATCTAACAATAAGGTAGAAGCCTACTCATAATTTTTGAGAATGTTGGTCATAAATTGTATGATTATTTTATTGGTTTATTATGTCATGAAGCCACCCTTATGAAAATGGATTTGTGCAGGAACAGGGAAATACTACGGTATGCACCAAGTTCACTGGTCTTATGCGATAAATTATGTGCGAGAAGTAGCGGGAAATTACATAGCATGAAAGAAAATGTTGCATTGAAAGTAAATTTCTAAAACCATGTATGGCAACTAGTGGCAAGTTATAGGAACTAATACACTCATAAAATACTGTGCAGCAAGTAACAGGAACCATCTCACTGTGTTGCAGCGAACATTTTTTGATACTGACAACAAACAGTGAACTTGGTGCATAGTATTTCCCTGTGAAGAAGAAAATTTATAACTGGACAAGCATTAGTACCCCTCCAAATGCATGCATGTGTAAAGTATAACATTCATCAATTTTCAAAAATGGAGCTCTGCCACGATCCCCCAAACATTGCCAGGATCAATCACAAACAAGAACAGACAATGTTTTTTTGGATTAACACCTAAAAAAAACCTTTTTCTTCTACAGCCTTTCTGTTCTAGTCCGCCTTTGGAAAACAATTAGCAGTATCTCATAGCATGATAATGTGAAACATATAACTTACTTCGGAACAGATCTCTGGCAGTGTCTAAATAACTAGATGAGATTGACACAGGATCTGTGTAACTTCTTACATGGGGAGCTATTGAAGTGAAAGAATAATGAAATTTAGATTAAAGAAAGTTGGACATAACACACTTCATATCTATTTTCAGTGTTAGTTCATATAAGAGTGCATATGTATAATCAAAGCATACTAGTGTATGTCAGAGATTATCTCTGAAGCAGTATTCATAAAAACAAAATGGCCACCAGTCGGCCATTTTAAATCCGATCTGCAAAACAAAATGACCTGCATCAAGGTCCAATAATGTCCAATGCATGTACGGCTGAGATGAGACAGAAATGCTTGATTTTGATTAATTTTTTGCACAAAAATTACACTATTCGAACATCTTATATTAGATCATGTCTGAGTGAAAAATAGGTGTGGACAGGGTTATGTACATAGCTGAAATTAAATGTACTTGTTTTGATCCAAGAAGTGATTAAAAATGTGTATCATAGAGTAATTTTTTTTTAACTATCCTAATTTAATATGTATATGGTGAAGATGTGCAGATTCTCCCTATGTTTAGCATATAGCTGTATTATATCGTATTTGTTCTATTATAAATGCACATAAACCAAAAATTGCTTTTATTGTATGATAGATCATTAAAATATGACTTATTCTGAAGTCCTGTCTGTGAAAGTATGTAATGTTATTATACATGTATAGTAATTAATTTTACAAAAAAAGAAAATGAAAGACTTACTTTCTGATCTCTCAAACAGTGTATCTTCAATGAATGAAATAGGCATTACTGAATGGTAGTTGTCAAATAAACTGAAAATGGAAGAAATATTTATGGTTCAATTATCAGTTGTTTGATACTAGTGGTGGATAAAATGTGATTTTAATTCAAATTGTCCTGCAAATACAATAATCCCAACAGGTACGAAACTGCCTGACCAAACTTTTGTAATGTAAGTTTTGATTAACAGCAAAAATATCATGTCATAAGAGATATACAAGACTTAATGTGTGAAGTTTAAACTTGATTGGTCCAGGCATGTATGAGATATAGCCCAGAGAACTGCATTTGTTT